AGTAGTACATGAAGTCACATGAAAGCTGGAGCACAATGTTAGTGGTAAGGCAGTTCTGTTGGATATAAATACAAGTACATCTTGAATGATGAATGATGAGTTCATGAATACTCATGTGTGCAGAGGAAGAGTGCGGTTAGATTGCTAAGGCGTTGATTATTGTAGCATCGCTAAGAACATAGATAAAAACACTGATAAAAGGCACGAGGATTTGTAGCACTAATTATTGGGCAGTGTGCCCCAGCATGTGTGCACCGTGAGGGCACACAAGCGTTCACTAACACTGCGTAAGAAGATGTTGTTCACATGCTGTTGAAGGGATTACACACGTATCATTATGGAGGCATAACACATCTCTCTAAGGAGATGCCGCATATTTGCGAATTGTTAGTATTGCCACTTTAGATTGTGGGCAGGGGAGCTTAAACACACAGTTGTGGTGAAGCCCAGATATTGTAAAATTCACTGCACTAGTCTTAGAGCTTATCGTCAGTACACCATGGCGTCATTTTAGCACGGTAGGCAAAGGTCTGTGCCCAATGCCGCGATGGTATTCATGATGCTGGAGATTTTACTGGATATACTTACACACTTACAGATTTTAAATTTACTGGAATTTTTTTTTATTATTTTAGTACACCGTTACAATAAGTACTTTATTTTCGATCGCTGACATTTAGCTGATAACCAGTTAGCTGACAAGACATTTGGACCCACACCCGCATTTAATCGCTACGGACAGTTAGCCGGCCGACAGGACTGTTAGCCAATATGTACAATTAGCCGACAGGACACGTAGCTGACAGAAACATTTAACCCGACAGGAACATTTAACAGACCTGGACACTTAGCCGACAGGAACATTTAACAGACCTGGACATTTAGCAGACAGGATATTTAGTTGCTAAAACATTTAGTTGACAGCACGTTTAGCTGACAACACTATTGACTTTTTTTCTTTTCTTCATGAAGAGTGTACAGTGCTGCACGATATTAGATGTCTGGAATTTGTTTAGTAAGCTTTTCATTATTAGGATTTTGTTTTAGGCTTATTTAGAATTTTGTGGGAACGCTTTTGGACTCAAACACCTTTGGATCGACTGCTTGGTAGTAGCACAGAAACTGAGTAGCTACTTCGAAAAATATCTAATATGACTTTTCGTGCCATGGATTGCCATTGCATGGCTTCTGAATCTTCCTTCAAACATTCTGGCAAGTGGGTCTAATACGTATGCTGTGACATGAGTATGTTCTTGCTTCCCGTATGAAGCACAGAGGTATTTTGAATGCTGAGTAAATGCACTATTTCGGAGGTTTTGCCGGACAACCTGTTATCATGGCATGCATGGACCAGGAACCTAGCTTGAATTATAATTGTTAATATTATTACTACTATTATTAGAAGTAGTAGGCGCTTGAGCAGCCAGCCTCCTAAAGTAGTCATTATATAAAAAAATATGTATCTGTATCTATCTTTCTCTATATATGTGTATAATGATTTTAATAATTTCCGCTAGGGCAATTTCTTAAAAATATTTAATGATTTTAATAAGAAATCGAACTTTTTTAATTACAGTAATTAGCAATTACTCCAGTTTAATGAGTTTAGACTTGACAGGAATTATACGAGTTGTCAATCGTATATGCAGCTCATTATCACATCTTTAATATGACAACAGCTTTTAAGTATGCTTCGAAAAGCGATTGGAATGAAGCCAAATATATAAAAGCATTTTATTTTTCATTGCATAAAAGCACCTAACTGTTTAACAATTAAATGCGGAGAATGAAACACTAATCAGCTTATTTGTTTCTTTCAGATTTTCTTAATTATATTTTTATTATCTTTGGTATGTTATTCTAATTTTTCAATATATATTGGTAGTAATGATGTTAACTCAAATAGCGATATATTTATTTATTTTATTGATAAACTTGATGAATGAGGACACAATAGTTTTTGCGTAGTAACCATTTGCTTAGTATTATTTTTGCATTGAAAACTTGTGAACCATTTTTCAAACAGCATCAGAAAAATCAAAAACGGAGCTTAAAGGTAATATCATAAGATACAGGAAAAAAGTTTGATGTGTAAGATTAAAATTCCTAATTTTGAGAAAGGCCACGTATTAAATGCATTTTTACTTCAATCAGTATCTGATGCTTTATTAAAAAAATCTGATGTGTACACCACATGACTTCCTTGTACGGAATACTAAATTATACGCATTTTTTCTGGCATTTCATTTAAACTTATTGGATTGAATTAAATCTACTTCGTCGATAGCGCATGAACCACAATAGAATAAATGCACTCTTTAAAATTCACTCTATTTGTTTACCATAGTGACACTCTGGTTCACTTAACAGCGTTATATTTCGTTCATATTATAACTCAGAATGCACAAAATTTATATCATTTGAAGAATTATCTAATCGTTGCCACATGTTCTATTCAAATACTATAATAAATCTAGAACGATGTATAAAATAAATTAAGCAAACAAAACAAAAAATATACAGTTTTTCACAGACGATTCAGTATTTCTCAGTCAATTAATTCAGTTCTCACTTCGCAATAATAAATGAAGGCGTTATCTTTGTTGTTGCGAAGCTTAGTCGCTCTAGATTGGCAACAAATCTACTATTCTGCTGTTTCAAATGTAAACAAACATGTTCGCCATGTTATTTAAAAATTAGGCTTAACCGCACCCAAACAGCTTTTAAATTGTTGATAATTCTACAAATATTGCTTGCAGATTTCCTAAAGGCATAAAAACCTTAACCGGAAGATAAGAACAACATGATTCAAACATTCTTAAAGCAAAAATTGCACAATTTACAAACATATAAGAGAAAGAAACTGAGATCACTAAGCCGGGTAACAGAGTGGATAAATAAATTTATAAACGTTAAATAATATTTATAAACGTTTGGTGCGGTCGATTACAACCAAAGTACGAGGTGCACATCTATGTGTTATACCTATATACAAAAATTTTAACGTTATGAGACTACTCGTTTTTGAATTAAGCGAGATACGTAATACGTACGTATAGACACCACGAAAAATTCTCTTCAGAATTCATTTTAAAACAATTTTATAATTTTTTTGGAGGAAAAGAGTCTTTTATTTTGTCCTTACGTACAGATATCAAGCAAAACCATCGTTAAATTGCATTCGATAGCGGTGAAAATGGATATTTTCGTTGAAATATGCTACCTGAGACTTTTTGCGATTACAATAAGTACAACGAAAAATGTTATTAAAAATAAGTTTTTTGCTTTTTAAACCCTTTGGATTTTTAATTAATAATAAATATCAAATTTATTTAGAAGAAAAATTAAATATACTCTACCGAATAGCAACACAATTGCGGGTGAAAGATAAAAATATCTTATTTTGGGACAATGACAATACATTTCTTTTAAATTACTGATTTTGTGATTAAACGTAAAAGACAAATATCTTAGAATTTCCGGAACAGTAATTTATTTCCTTTAAATCACTGAATTTCTTTTCCAAAATTCATTACTAATTCTTCAGAAAACAAAATTTAAAAAAAAAAAAAAAAAAAAAACTGAGAAATTCAGAATTCTGGTCTCGAAGAGCACATGTCCGTGTGGAGGACTATGTGTGTTCAAAATTTTGTAATGCTAATTGCCGCCATTTCTTCCACAATAGAGGGAAAAGCATGCGTACATAGATCTGTATAGATTCTTTATTATTTACTAAAACGAAATGATTTCTTCTTGACTCAATATTATGATCACAATGCACCAACATTTCTCTTCCACAGCATCATTTTCTTAAAGCAAGTAGCTACATCTGTTGTATTTCAGTTTATTGCAATTGATTTACCATTAAAAATACCTAATAAATCGTATGCAGTGTTTTATTCTGCACATCTGTATTCTACTCAGTGAATCGCTGAAGGATATTACAAACATTAGATTGTTCGGATATTGCTTATCCTGAAACCGTACTCTAGAAAGATTGTGGCCCACCAGCAGCCGAGTGGTAAAGTCACTGAACACTGGTAGTTCGATCCGAGGTCCGAACCCCGCGAATGGGCTGACTGCATGGGGGAGCTCTTGTGTTTTCCCCCATGTGCAAATTGTATACGAATCAGTTTCCCTTAGAAAGTCCTCCACGAAGGCATCCTTCGAGGCTTTGCCCTAATCACATAAATCAAACTAGAACGACTGTTGTCGGTGAATTTGCTCCTTTTTTTGGGGGGGGGAGAAATCCACCGACTTTAGAAAAAACATCAGATATTGCTAAATTATGTTAGAAATACAGAATAAACTTCATTTGGAAAATTACTTCACTTTTGCAAAATGGTGCAAAGAGCGAAATTCTGCGGTGCTTTTCAATGAGGAAGAATATCTACCAAAATACCTGTGCAAAATCACTTCTAATTCACATTTAAACTGTCTAATTAGAATTTTGAAAAATCGCTTGGAGAAAGACTTACCTCTTTCTTGAATAATTAAGTATGCCAAATCTTCCCGCCACTGTGCTTCTTAAGCGAGATACAGATTAAATTCTTTAATGCTGACAGATGTATTAGTAAATTTTCAATATCCGAGAAGCATTCATTTGTTCTTCATCGTCTACAATTATCAGGCTGACGGTTGTACACATCATTCCAATTTTTTTATCTTTCCTGCTAAAATTATCCAAAATAGTTCTGATGTACTGACTGAAATAATTGGCAGCTGTGTTTTAAATCGGTGTTTGTGTTCTTTGCTTCATAACAGACGGTCCTTAAATCTCGTTGTCATTTGTTGATTGCGTCATTTTTGGTAATTTGAGCTGCGTATCTATGCAAAAACTAACTTTAAGTGGTTCTAAAAAAAAAAAAAAAAAAAGAAAGAAAGAAAGAAAGAAAGAAATCGCGTGTTCATGAAAACACTACTTTCAGAAATATTATTATCTTCATCTATCAACATGAGAATTTGAAGCGTTTATCTGATATAATATTGCTTATCTGCCTCGCTGGATGAGTTAGCTACTTACGATATGTATAAAGGCAGTTAGTCAAGAAAAAATTGGACAAACTTAAATTTTGGCTAATAGACAAACTGTTCTCGAAAAATGGTTACAAGTACAGCCTTAACTTTCGTTATTGGCCTTGCTCTCTCTTTGGCAGGTAAGCTCAATTTTTTTAACTTTTAAGGTATCCTTTCTGCTTGCCTTCGTACTGTAATTAGAAGCATACTGGACGAACATTCGAGAGCCCCACGATTCTATGTCCGGGAGAAGGGTATTGCATATTTTTCACTTCTCCTGCTTCAAAAAATTCTAATCACTGTATAAACTTTCAACATTTGTAAAGCTTGTTCCAGTGCAAACATATAAATCGATCAAAAATTCGTGATCAAGATTTGCTGTCTGGAAATACTTTGTTTAATCAAATTCCGTATTTCAAAAATGTTTTCTTACGTTATATAAATTGTTTCAGTCACATTTTCTCAGGTCCCTGCTCGTTTTACGCAGATGATTAATCGTGCATAATTGGAATCGGTATATAAAATCGAACCCATTACAAAATATAAACGGGATATACGTTTCACACATTTATGAATGTAATTTTAATGAAAAACCTTTCCAGAATTTTTGGACGTTACCTTTTGCTATGCTGTTATATATGCATCATCTTTCGCCCTGGTATGCGGTGCCCTTTTGCGAAACATAAGGACTTAGATTTACTTTTAACGGGGACTTCCGCATAATCCGTCCTCAGAATACTGCCTTTAACTAAAACATAAGATTTTTCATTTATTTTTCGAATTTAATCAACCTATCATTGCTTAACAAATTGAGCGATTTTTCTATATTTTGAATCTTTATATTTTATTTTTTAATAATATATATATAATTATAGATATAATTTTAAAACAGATGCAGCATTATTTTACCTCACAAAAGATGTTTCTAATTCCAAATATATATTACGTTCTCAGTACTGAATCATTTTTTTAATATAAAATTCTCTATTTATTTATAGTAATTGGCACGTAATAATTTTAATATCCTAGATAAATTGGTAGTCCTTGAGAGCTAGAATATCAAAGAACTGCGTAGCGATTGCTGAGTTCTATTCAGGGAACTGTCCAAAGAAAGGTTAAACTTACCTTTCATTACAACTCAAATAACTGACAGCTGATATCCGGTCGGGCTTACATAAGCCTTACTTTGGCTTTAACTCAAGATAGAGAATAAGAAACTAACGTAATACTAACTAAAATAAAACCAACCGAAGCTGCAGAGAAATAACTAACACAGATGGCTCTTATTGAAGATTACCAGCGAGTACTAGCGAGCACGAAACAATGCGGCCGAATCGTGGTAATATTAGACGCACAGCAACAACGGGGTCCGAAGGCAGAACATACTCTCCTAAAGTTCTACTAACCTGTTCTAATGAAGTGACTGAGACTTCAACTTAAATACTCGTGTCTAACTTATTTACATAAAACGTAATCTTAAAAACTCATTCTGGTAAGGAGACGTAGGTAGAATAGGAGAAAGTAAAGTCTTGTTCCAAAATAAAAATAACTATTAAGAAATTAAAATAAACTCCTACAAATTTATAAAGTTTTTATGTCACATTTATTTTTGCGATTTATTTAATTAAACTGTTTTTTGTTTATTACTAAATATCAAATATTTTCTATCATAATACAATCCGAATTATATTGAAATCTAAAGAAGGTTATGATAAGATTGGTAAGGAATTTGGGATTGGGGAAAGATTGGCGATAACATTGTTAAGGAATGCTTTAATTGTTTAAAGCTTGTGCTTTAATTATAGTAATTACTTTTTATTGTTCATCTAGCAGATGGTGGTAGTTAACGTAATTCTATATCATTAATATTAATGCTAAACGAAAAATTTTGTATTTCATGACATTAATATAACTAATTTAATTTGACTAATTTTCTAACGTGCAGGATTTTCACCACAAGAGAATGAGATTTGAATCAATAAAATAATGTTATTGTATTACAGTTGTTAAGAAAACTCATTATTTTGTATGTGATGAGGGAAACAACAAAAAATTTCAAGTTACAGCATTATCGAAAGTGCTCGATTTACCTATTTTAGGAACAAAATTACTTTTCTAAAAAGGAAAGTCATACAGGAATTCAATTGTAATCTCACTAATTTGAATTACATAAGCAGTGTTTCCCTATCAGAGTTAGTGGATAGATATTTTAGGAGTTTAAATAAATTCTTAATAACAAGAGTGACTTTTATCCAAATACCGCTTTAAGATATTTTAGTGTTATATAACAATTTTAAGTTATATAACAAGAGTGACTTTTATCCAAAGACCTCTTTAAGATATTTTAGTTATTTTATGACGTAAGTGCTTTACTTTCTTCAAGAAAAACTAACAGTTTCGAATTCTATTTTGTTTTCTTTCCAGTTGTTAATTCAGAGCAATTGTTCATCTGCGATTTTGAAAGAGACACCTGTGGATTCACGAACGAAGAAGGGAACACAGCAACATGGGTAAGAGAGGAAACCGAACTCGGTGGCAGAGAAGGTAATTAGCTTGGGAAAGCATTTAATTCCATCAAAAATAATATTTTCAGTTTAATGTGTTCGCGTTTATTGTTATACTAGGAAGCACGGCGGTCATACGAAATGACCGCTGTTCTAGATATTATAAATTGTAATTAAAATGATTTGTACAAAGGTGTCTGCTGCTTCAAACTGAATTACCTAGGGCAGGCGGCGAAGAAGCCCCTTTGCTTACTGCCCCACGGAGTTTCCCCCTTCTACTTGCTTAATTGCTTAGAGTGCAGTGAAAGAAGCCATTGGCGGTACATTTCTTAAGAGCCACCGCTAGCTCAATCAATAAAGGTGATTTAAATAATGAAATGTTAATTCACATGTCAAAGATCTCTATATACACAACATTTCTTGTGTAGATTTTCCCATCATTTTTAAGCTCGCCTTGCAGAGGACCATCAATTATTTTTAATTTTACGTCCGTTCTTTTACGAACTCTTGAACAGGCACATAAAGTTGACCGTGTGCAAATGCAAACTCAGGTAAAGAACTGCCAAAACGCTTAAGCGTTTGGCTCTGAGACTGATGGATGGTCATAGAAAAGGCATGTTTTACAGGAAATTGTCTACGTCTCAATTGAAACGGCAACCATGTGCCGTGGCAACTTCACCCCATTGGCTAATACAGTTACGCAAGCAACCAATAAACTATCGGTGACAAACAGACACTTAAGCCGCACATATATATGGGGTGACGTAACATCATCTCCTCCGAAACGGCTGGCTCCCGGGATTAGCGAAGTACAAGGAATCCGCAGGTGCGTGGCACGGCATTTTGACCATTCGCGTCTTCGTGGGACTTTAATTAGCCGAGATATTAATTAAAAACTAATTTTCCCCTACATTTTTTCTTTCTTGGGTTTTCCCTATTAAAGGGATTTGGCTACGTGCCAAATTCTTTTTTCTCGAATATCTATGGAACGGCGCCGAGTTGAAATTCGAGACGCGTAGCCTCGGATTCCAAATAATTCTCCGAATCCATCGATACCGTTCTCATCTTCGTACGACTTTAATCGGCCGAGATATTAATTAAAAACTGCGGAAACGTTAATTTCCAATTCATTTTTTCGAGTGGCAACAATAAAATATCAACGACAAACACTTAAGCCGCTTACATATATAAAGAAGTGAGGTACTGTTCTCGATTAAACTGGCGCAATCCCCGTTATTTGCATTTCATATGACTAAGAACCCTCCATTTACTATAATTAGCAAATCACACCGCCTTGACCGGATAGCGATTAGTCACTCTGACCTCCGAACCAATCGGCCCGGGTTCGAATCCCGCAGAAGGAGTGGGCGTAATTTGTGCGTTCCCTCATAGCAAGCAAACGTGGACCACCTATTAGGTGCTTCCGTAATAAAGTGACCACCGCTTTTGCCCTCAGTAGTGGGCACCGTCTATGGACGGCTAGGACTTCTGCCATTGGAAGGGAAAAAAATAATCAGCAGATACTGAATCAGACACTGTGATGAAATACTGTGATTAGAATCAGTAGATAATGTGTCAGAAAGTTACCGATTGAACTTTTTTTCAACCTAAACGAAATCATGTAGCGGGACGGTTTTCCATTTAAAACAGACATGTATTAAATATAATTAAATTTTAAGTCATAGAAAAGCATAAAAAGTGTAATAATAAATAAATTCTTAGAGGGAATCATGTCAGCAATACTAATAAATGGAAAAACAAACTAACGCATATTCTTTCTGATTATTGTGATACATCATGCACAGAGCACGATGTAAAGTTTTCCCTAAAGTGCACCCTCCTATGAAGGAACGGACAACTAAATTCTTGCCTTCTCTGGGATTCGAACCCGGGACCTTTGGTGTGGTAGTCATTAACCACTTTCCTGTCTCTTAGCGATTGAAATTTACGTGTGTGCGATTTTGAGAATTTTGAAACTTTTTTAAAATCGTAAAACGTTTATATGTTAAAATAATATGTCTGATAAAATACGTTTATAATAAATAAATAAAAAAAATATTTAAGCTTAAATAAAGGTCACCATCTGCCAATCCTGGGATCACAGAGTAGGAGTAGGTGCAAACAGTTTTCAGAGCCAGTGTTGGTGTTTCCACATGCTTAATTGATTAATTTGTTTAAACTTTAAAGTTTGCCAATAAATAATGCGGTATTTCCAACCAAAACTTTGACCAAAACCAAATATCGAAATAGATAGTATTTGGAACTCCCAGATACCATACTTCGAATGAAGACGTCAAAGGAACACTGAGTTTTTCCTTATTACGGTTAGGCTGGACCTAACATGCATTTGGCATATGGGGCTGCAGTACGTAGTGGGCCAGCCGCACAATGCTTGAACGCGGAACAATATCCTATGAGTCGTACACCCAGCCATAATTTCTTTGCAAGGCTGCACTGGAGTTTAGCTTAAACAGATTCATCTCAAAGAGCTGCCATGAATAGGGCACGATCAGCACGAACTCCGGACATCGAAGAGAATGTGCTACATCAAGTGCAATGGACTCCAAGTTTGCATAGGCGAAGTGTAGTCCAAGCAGTCGGGGTTTCCCGTTCTAGCATCTGGAGGATTCTCTGAAAAAGCAAAATGGATCCGCATCGCGTGAAATGTATCCAGGCACTTCAACCGGGCGATTATGCTCCTCGTATTACTTTTGCACAATACTAACTTGCATACAGATCCCGTTCCGAAGGTCCCGGGCTCGAATCCCTGAGAAGGCATGGATGTTTGTAAATTTATAGTGTCGGTGCGGCTTGGAGGCACTCTAAATATGCGGCGAGACGAAAATGCTCTTGAGCTTTTGGTGGCAGAGGAAGAGGGGTGGGAGATCCTCGGACCCGTCCCTCTTGAGGGCTTTCCATCAGAACTGGGGGTGGACATGAGCTAAATCCCACTGTCACCTGTAAGGTGCACAAGGCTGTTGCCAACGACAGGCATAATCTAGCGCTCCTTGCAACGAGGAATTTCGTGGTCTTGGGCTGACTTTAGGTCAGACAAGTGAGCATTAGCAACAAGAACAATTACAAATATTATTTTTTAGCCAGGTCTTTTTTTCCCAATCCTGTGATGATAACTGTGATGCTTCTTTGGTAATATGAAGCAACTCCAATGTGGAACACAGCAATAACTTTTATTTAGCACTCAAAAAAATGGCGACATACAAACAAAAAGAGAAAAATATTCTAACTTTAAAAATAATTACTTCGTGCGAGAGTCGCACGAGGCACTCGCGTCTGGTTTCAAATTGCCATTCACAATACCTTAAGTTTTATTTAAATTATTTGGTACTTTTCCGTTTCGCCGGCGCAAGCCTCGCCATTTCCCTTTCTCGCGCAAAGCCAAGCAGACTTTATGGCGACAACACACACTGTACCACAAAAAAATGTTAACAAATGTAATTCTAAGAATTTTTTTTTTTTTTTATTTGGAAGCATAAATATTTTAATATCGTTTAGAATTTTTTCAAATGGGTCTTTATTGTCCTTCGCCACATAATCAGCGAGGTAACTTTCCAGATGATGCCGAGCGTCCTCTGTGTTTCTATTCTGCCATTTTGCGCTTCCCATAACTTTTCTTTTTGGGCTTGTGCGTTCTAGTTTCCGGATCTACAAAATTGTATTTGGTTACTTTGAAATGTTCGAAACTTTCCTCTTCCAGTTTTCAGTGCAATATGATTTCCATGAATCGGAATATATTGTAGTTCTTTTTCGATGTTTTCATTTAATTGCCTCTAATATAATACTCGTGGATCGGTTTGGCACCATCCACAGGGAAAACATTCGTTTGTTTCACGAAAAACTCACCAAAGATCCACGGTGTTAAAATCCGTCGCGTTGCTTTTTGCGCTTCGCTGAAATTTTCAGCAACTTCAACGATCATATAGGTCTCCATTTTGCGTTTTTGAGTTTAGTAAAAAGAATCCACGCAAAATCTCGCATGTAGTTATTCCAATCCGCAACTGTTCCGATGACTGATTCAATGCTTTCACACCATAACTGAAGTTATTGTTCACTCCAACCATAAATGAAATCTTAAACACTTCAAGAAACTCAATCTCGATGATTCAAATCATGTGCCTTTCGATCTTCTTATGCGGCAGTTGAAAGGTTGCAACGCATGAATTCGTCTCCGAAATATAATTCATTTCATGATATTTTCACAAATAGCAATGTTACGCAAAACGCTTTCGCTTGAAAAAATCTAGGATTTTCCTCTGTCCTGAGCAAATCCCAAATTTTCATTGGTTTTTTCATCCATTTGACATATTGTAAAAGGTTAATTTAAGAATTTAAAGACGTTAAATTAAAAGATTTACTATGCTTTCATGGTATAACCTCTGATTCGACCGGTTAATATCACGTATCCAACGATCTCATCTCACGTAAAATACGCTACAAAATCTGTTCCTCAGGAATTACTTAATTTCATTAATTACTACATTAATTTCAGTTAAATCTCAGTAGAATACGAGTTTAAATGCAGAATTTTCAATATTATAATAAAAAAAATATGTGTGAAGTATGCCAATATTGAAAAAGAAAAGGAAATATGATAATAAATCTCAGCGATTGTTTGAAAAAGGCCGTGAAAGGTTATCTCGAAGATATTCGCTTTGGCATCAGTTCTACATTTCGACGACTTTATCGCTTGCGCCGGCGAAATGGGAAACTGCGCCGGCAAACGGAAAGTCCAATTTTTAAACTACAGTTTTAATATATTTAAAGCTGTTAAACCTCCCCAACGGAGAGATTTACCGAAAAGTTCTTGTAAATTTCGAAAGTTAATGGCTCGGCTTCTATTTTTAAAGAGAAAAGATAACTTATATTCCAATTTCCAATTTTCAGGCACGAAATTTTAATTTAAACAAATATTTACACCCCATTAATAGGAAAATGGTCAGTGTTCAAATGAGTTCCTTTTTTCCTGACGGCGCTAGATTCTTTCATGTTGGACCAGTTCCTCGGCTATAATTCTTAGCAAAGCCTCCTCAGTTCATCTGTGCCTTCGGATAAATTCAATTCTTTATTTGTTTTCGACAATTGTTTCGTCTATAGTAGCGGCTTTTATATAATCAAAAACAAAAGTGATGATAACGCTGCATGCAAAATGATTCTCAATATTAATTTCTTTATTTTTAAATTTTCGTGAACATTCTCGTTTAATGCTGGGATTTAACATATTCTTCAAATACATCTCTCGAGCTTTATTTTTTCCTTCATCGGTTCAGATCTGCTCTTCAGCTATTTTTCTTTTCTGAGCTCTAGAGAAATGGCATTAAAATGGTATCACTAAGTTTACGTTCAGTGATAAAACTAAAATAAAGCAGTTCGTGTAACAGGAAGTAATAACCTGTATCACTCATATTACGTCAGTGACAAAAATAAAATAAGGCAATTCAATATCAACAGGAGTAATAACTGGTATCACTAATATTTGTCAGTGTGAACTAATAAATAACAATTAATATCACAGAAGTTCGCTATAGTAGCGGCTTATATTAAATAAAGCCGAAAGATGATGATAAACGCTGCATTGCAAAATGATCTCATATTAATTTTTATCATTTTTTAAATTTTCGTGAACATCTTCCTCGTTTAATTCTGGTGTTTAACTTCTTTCAAATACATCTCTCGATTGCTTTTTTTCTTCCTTCATCGGTTCCAAGATCTGCTTTCAGCTATTTTTCTTTTCCTTTGAGCTCTAAGAAACATTAAATGGTATCACTAAGTTTACGTTCAAGTGATAAACTAATAAAATAAAGCAGTTCAGTGTTACAGGAGTAATAACCTGATATCACTAATATTACGTTCAGTGATGAACTAATAAAATACGCAATTCAATATCAACAGAGTAATAACTGGTTCACTAATATTATGTTCAGTGATGAACTAATAAAATAAGACAATTCAATATCAAACAGGAAGTTTCGTCTATTAGTGCGGCTTATATTAAATCAAAAGCCGAAAGATGATGATAACGCTGCATTCAAAATGATTCTCAATAATTTCTTTATCATTTTTTAAATTTTCTGTGAAATCTTCCTCTTTAATGCTGGTGATTAACTTTCTTCTTCAATATACATCTCTCGATGCTTTATTTCTTCCTTCATCGGTTCCAAGATTGCTCTTCAGCTATTTTCTTTTCCTTTGAGCTCTAGTCAAATGGCATTCAAATGGTATCACTAGTTTACGTCAAGTGATAAACTATAAAATAAACGTTTCAGTGTTAACAGAATAAAACTGATATCCAATATTACGTCAGTGATGACTAATAAAATAAGGCAATTCTATCCAAAGAAGTAATACCTGGTCTCATAATTATGTTCATGATGAACAATAAATAGACCTTCAAAATTACAGAAGCAATAATGGTATCACTAATATTGCGTTCAATGATGAACTAATAAAATAAAAAAATATACGCCGATTATTCGATCCGGCCGGTGCCCTCCAAAATAATTAAGACTGTATGCTTTTTGGTAATAAACAACTCCAATGATGGAACCACAAATAATTTATTTAGCACTCAAAAATGGCGACATACAAACAAAAGAGAAAAATATAGTCTAACATTTAAAAATAATTACATTCCTTCATGTGAGAGAGTCTCGTGAGCACGCGCTCTGGTTTCAAATATTGCCATTCACAAATACCTTAATGTTCATCTATTTAAATTATTTAAACTACAAGATTTTAATATTATTTAAAGCTGTTACATAACGAACTGATTTGTAGCCTAATGCCGTATATTGGATACCCACACAGAGAAAGAAATGAAATTTATTCTTCTGATTGAAATATTATGCAGAACTAAGCAATGAAGGCTGAATTTTATGGACCTTATAAGAGATAGACTAACCCAGTGGGCGGGCGTCGCGTCACCCACATGTCCCCAAGGAGTAGGGACGATCTGGTTTACTTTAACACTGAAACCTATGGCGTTTGATTCACGTAATTGTTAATGTGATACGATCACAAGCTATTATTGATTCAGCGTGCATGCAATCTTTTACAATTCCCCTTGAGATTTTCTTTTAGATAGCTCGCTGCGGAGAGTAGATCAGATAATTTTTAGACGCGCGTTACGTCATAAATCAACGACGAAGTGGAGCCAACATTCGCCGTGACTTCGCCGTGTCTCAAGCTCAGTCTTGCATTCTAGGCACGCTGTTTGAACAGTTATGTCTACCAGAAAGAACAGTGTTGAACGTGCAAAGAGAAAATACTGGTGTTTTACAAGTTTAGATTTTAAAAATGAACCGCAGTTTAACGCAGAGAAGGATGAGTATCCTATTGTTGGTAGAAAGACTTGTAAGACTTCGAATCGCAAACATTTGCATTGTTATTTGGCTTTTAAGAACTGGACGTACTTCGATATGTACAGAAGCGGTTTACAGGTGCTCATATTGAGAGAGCTAGAGGTACTGCTGAGGAGACTAAGAACTAATGTTCGAAGGATGGTGACTTCTTGGAACACGGAACTTTACCCAATTTTGGCAATGGAAGTGGCAGATTTAAATCTTCCACTTTATTTAAGCTCGCTGTATTTAAGCGCGCAAGTATTTAAGCTCACTGAAGACGGTGGTACATTTGCCATTACAGATAAGAATCCAGGGCTCTATATCCGCTACAAAAATACTTTGGACTCGTTTCTGAGTTAGATGGATCCCGTGGCATGTGGTTACATGTACCTCCAAGAAGTGGTAAGGATTATGACGATCAGAAAAGTGGGGTAAGTGTTTATTTAACAAACCACGTAATAAATGGTGGGATAGTTACAAAGGCAAAGATGTTTTACTTTTAAGTGATGTTGATAATTTTTATGCAAAGTTTCTTGGATCTTTAAGGATTTGGATTTATCGTTATTCTTTTAGTGCTGAGATAAAAGGTGGAACAATGGTAATTCGACCGAAACTTGCTGTGGTAACTTCGAATTACCATATAGAAGATCTGTTTACAAGTTTGGTCATGTCCGCTTTGTTAACAGGTTTGAATCAGTTTATTTATGATGACGTAAAATGGCAAGTGGTGTTTATACCACGCATCGTGCTTCAAATAGATTTTTGCATTATCCAAAGATAATATTTATGCGGTACAATCTACGTTGTCGGAATGGGTTTGTCGGAGGGTAGCTCGAAAGTACCACCGCAGGTACAGAGTGAAGAAGAGGACTCTAATTTCGAGATTCCGAAGAAGAAAATGGCGGGAAAATTACAAGAAAATTGTAGTTAATGATTATCATTCTTGACTTTTGTTTCTTAATCGTGGTGTTACTGCTAAAGCATGGTCGGAAAATAATGCGCAGAAGGCGTACTTTCATTCACGTACAGATGGGTTTCGCAACTGACGGATGTTATTTCACTTACAGTAGTATAAATACACAGAGATTCATCGTATTTGTTGTAAAAGCATGCAACAGTATCTTCTCTAGTTGTTGTTTCTTGAAGGAATTTGCATAAGTGTAAATCGTCTTCAGGTGCTGTTATTATGAACATACCACACAATAACCAATGAAAAGATAATCCTACGAAATCTTTTGAATCATCCATTTTAAAAACAAATTCATCGCAAAATTTATGTTGATTAATTAGCACTCTCAGTAGAAAGATCGCAATGTGGCCGTAAACAGTGTTAAAGATTTGTTATATTGAATAAACGTTTCAGCAGACTGTTCTAAAATATTCTGAAAACAATGTCTTCAGTTTTAACAGTATCTTATATAAGTTTCAATGGCTTTTCATATTTGTTTCCTTGCATGTGTTTAAATTTTAATGGCATGCCAAATGTTTCTGTGAAATACGAAATAACAATGTCCTTAATATCGTTGTCTTAAATTCTTTGCTTTTAGTCTGACTTGTATTAAAATAATTGTCTTATTTCAGGCTATGTCATGACTATTGAACCGAATGATGCAATCGTCCAAAGAGCAAGTGTGGGAAAATCATATTCTGAAATTCGCGGTGAAATACCAGGCTGTTTCTCTTTCGATTATTATACTTTCGGCAATGGAACTCGATACTTTTCTTCAACGCAAGAAATGAATATAGGTGCTGCTGGCATATGGTCATTTGATGACACCGAGATTACCTCTGGTTGGAACAAAGCAAGAATCAGTGTCAACATTGACGAGTCCACCAGAGTAAGTAAAAATATTCTTGTCTAAAATATAAAAGTTAGGTTTATTAACCGAAGACTTTTCTTCCTTAATATTCAAATAATGAGGAATGTTACATCAAACACCGAGTACATAAAAAGTGCAATTTTTAAGTTTAACTTATTTGCCTAGTTTGATGAAGTTAGATAGTTAAGCTCTGTCTTTATCTTTGATGTGTGTCATCTTAAGATAACACACTGTGCAGTGAAATGCATATATTTCAAACACTACGCACGTTATACTATATCCTCGATAATACGGTTGTTGGCGGACAACCAAAAATCACGGATAATCTAAAAATAGCGTCTCAAAAATTTGAATTTCGAGAGGTTCTTAATGAGTAATGTGCACTGCTCTGTTTAATATGAGGTTTATTTAAGAGAATAAACGTAGATGTTTTATATTTTTTCTGGAGAATGTCTGTGTACTCGGCGTGTATTCGAAAGATGTAGGTTCCAGTCTCGGCGAGGCACGTTTTTCACATCTCCTGCTTCGAAATAACCTAATGACTCTATATGCCTCAGTGAATTTACTGAATCTTCGGGGCTTCGGGTTATTGCTGTGGGTTATTCATTGTTTACTCTACTGTCAATTTTTTTCCATGTATCTTGCTGATTTTGAAAGTCACTACATGTACTTTGTACATTCTCAATTTCTCAGTTTTTGCGGTCTTAAAGCAATCGTGGTAAATATTACCTGATACGAAATCACTGTTCTCGAAAGTATTGATTTTTCAATGGCTAAAACTAAATAAAATATTGTTTTAAGAGTAAATAGTTCGTAGCTATAAATTTCCAAAGCGAATATTTCTTCTTAATTTTATCATTCTCCTGAATTTTTGTCCATAAAATAAGTTTAAAGAGTTTATATTTAATGTTTATTTATTTTTTAGGTAAAACTGCATTCATTGAAAAAATAGTCCTAAAATTATTTAACTAAATTTACCTAAAATATATTATTAAAAGTCTCTATTAAATTGTTTAAATATAAAAAAGAAAATCCTTCATTTAATTCTACAGATAATAATTCAAAGATTTTTTTTTTTTTTCTTTTCAGTTTAAATTCTATGCAATGATTGACCGTTCTCTGGGAGAAGGTGTAGTAGCCTTAGACAATGTAGCTTTGGATCTCAATCACTGCTGAATAGCTCCGCTGATGGAATTATCGATCTGAAAGTTTCAGGACACTTTTTCTCTCTTTTATTTGTGACGTTTTGCGTTTGACTGTATACACATGTTGCAATAAAAACTAAAAAGAGGAAACAGTTAGTCAACCTTATTCAGTTATGTGCCATTCCTTCTATTTCCAATTTACCTAAAACCACTTTCAGGCTCAAAACAAATCAGTAATGTTAGTTACTCTTATTTACGCAGAATACAAGGTTAAGAATTAAAAAGTATTCTGCATAATTGGTATTTAAAAGAAATTTTTCCTCGATTCATCTTGTTTTTCAGTATTTTTTTCAAAGACAAGAATAGCAGAAAATCTTTCCGAATTCTTGCCTTTGATTCGTCAGTTAGATCTCGCATTCGACAGTTAGGTCTGGCAGAGATTACATCTTCCCGAAAAATACCATGTGTAAAATTAAAAAAGGATTAATATACAGTATATCATTGTTAAACGTGTGGTGTCTCAACAATAACTTCGCTAATCACTAGTGGTTCCACCCAGATTCGATCCTATTAAACTGGTTAACAGCGGTTCCCCAGTGTATAAACATAATACCAACTAGTTTCTCTTCAAAGTGTATAAGTTATTTTTCCCGCCTTCTTCGTGGTGTGGTGGTCTGCACACTGGGCACGTATTCCAGTGGTCCGCGGTTCGATTCCCGCGAAAGCAGTTGCTCATTTTTGGCCAGTTTTCCTAGAAAGTCAGCGGTAGCTCTATTTAGTCGTCTGACCAGACATGACTGTTTGCGAGACCACCTCTACAGAACTGGAGTGGTAGATTTCCCAAACTGTATTTTGTGTGACTGTAATCAGCGTATGAATTTTGAACATTTAAATAATTGTATTGCACTTTCTCGGTATGAGGACATTGTTAAAAAGTACTGGAGAGCCCGTGAACTAACGGCTTAAGCTGCTAATGTTTGGCATTAAAAAATAAATAAATAAATTGTATAATTTTTAATTAAACTGACTTTTTCTGCTGACTTCTGACAAAAATTCTTGACTTCTTTGAAGGGAAATTTTAAAAAAGTCAAGAATTTTTGGTTCGTGTTTTACATTATACAAAATATGATGAATAATCGAATAAATAAAAGTAGTTAAAACAATGATTTTTTTTTTTTTTTTTTTATTCTAGACATTCTGAGACTGAAAAGCAATTTCGAATTTTTTTCCCTTAAAATAAATACTCTCTATCCTTCACTTTTGTTCGAATTGTAACCAACGTGTCAAAAGTTTTCTTAAAAGAAGTAATGAAACTTCTCAGGTTCCAAGAGTGTCAAAAATCCGTCTAGTTATACAGGGCAGCTATTTGAATTATTTTTAAAGGATTCAGAAAGAAGATTTTAAAACAGCCGTCTTTGGTATATCTCTTTCAACAACATCCAAGCAACATGACGATGACTTATCTGCTTCATATAATATTGTTTTAATAATCGCAACATCATCAAAACTGTATAACTGTTCCGTAAGAACTGGCCATGAAGAAGGCTAATTATTAGTCCATATTACTGACTACGCTACATAAACCGTCAGACGAGATCACCAGAAATACTTTAGAGTAACAAACGAGTCCAAAGAAGAATAAATGATAAAACCTTTTGAAAGTATACGTGGAAGCTCGATTATCAAGTTTGCCAATTATCCACGCGTGGTCACGCATCCACACTCAACGCAATGCGCAACAATGTGTAAAAAACACACACGCGTAAACTGAGCGCGGAGAAAGATTTTTTTCTTATTCTAGAAATCGGAGAGTTATCTAATTGAGAAAAGGCCGAGGTAATAAATGAAGTTATTACTATAACATATTTAAAAAAAATGTTTAAGATCTTGATGCCAAAAATTTTAAATGTAAAATTTTCGAAAATGCCGATCACGAAAAATTGAGGAATGGTTCTATAGTGGTTCGACAGAGCTGGACTTTCAATCCTTGTTTGATGGGGATATCGTTTCAAATGCTACACGCATAAGGTATTTCTCCCTCCTTCTTAGCATGTCTTCGTGGTGTAATGGTCAGCACACGCTCGGCGCGTATTCGAGAGGTCCGTCGTTCGAGTCCCGGCGAGGGCAAAAATACCTAATGTGTCTACAGTGGCGCCCGAACTAAAAGGGTGATGAATGATGATTCTCAGCCACCAGGATATGGCGACTGTGTCCCCTAATCCTTAGTCACCGTTTAAAAGGGGGAGCATATAAGGTAATCCCGCCTTCTTAGCATGCCTTTGTGGTGGTCAACACGCTCGGCGCGTATTCAAGAGGTCCGTGGTTCGAGTCCCGGCGACAGCGTTGCTCATTTTTCACGTTTCATTGCTTCTGCTTCCAAACTATCCTAATCTCTACACAAGAGCAGAAAAGGCAGTGAGTGATACCGAAAATACAACCGAAAAAGATCTCGAAACCTCATTACATCAGTTCCGAGACAGCAATGACTTCTGCTGAAACACTGTTGGACTTCGTCGGTTAAAGGGAATTCAAATAAAATAATACTATTTCGAAAAATACGCAGTTAAACCCGACAGATATTTAAACGTTCTCAAAAACAAAGTTATTGTTAATTTTTTTAAGAAGGCGATGCGTACAATATAAAAATGAAAATTGATAACTTGGATTATCCCTTATCTTTCAGTTATCCGTGATTTTCTTCCCTGATATTAGTCCGAATATTCGAGAGTATGAATGTGTTTTCAATATGAGTTCTTAATGTAACTAAATCAATTACCTTTGGCAGGGAATGAAGTCTGAATTCTCGATTATTTGCGTTTCATAAAGGACCAACACATCTGCCAAAAGCTGTTATTTACCCAAAGTTTACCACCTAATGTTAAAAGAGAATCACTATTTAATGCGACGAAAGCTTTCTTAAACAAAAAGAAATCCCCTCGTATAAAATATTGTCTGTTACCGCTGATGGTTCTCCAGTAATAGTTGGATTTTACAATGCTTTTGGGCCACATTTCAAAGCATAGGTACCAAATATAGTATTATCATACGTTGTGTTTGTTATACACTAGTAACAGCTAGTAACGAAACCTTTGAGAGAACGCTTACAAAGTTCATCTCACATGGTCATCAAAACAGTCAATAAAACCAGAAAGAATTTTTGGAATAACAGGTTGTTTGCACACCTCTGCATTAAAAATGATGATGATTTCAATCACCTGCTTTTGTATATAGAGAAGCTCGTTGGCTATCAAAGAGGACTTCTTTTAGCGATTTTTCTAAACTTCTTAACTTAGTACTAGAGATTCTAGGAGATAAAGAAGCAACTTTAAGAGCATACATATATGAAGAGTCTCACCCTCTTTGGTAACATAAACTAGATGAGAAATCTGAAAGATTTCACGCAAATTAAACTTCATAACTTTATTTCTAGTTATTAAGTCTTTCCTTTCTTGTATCTTGTTACATTATATTAGGGTGTGTATCATTCACTCTAGACGGCCAGTGTTTCATTTATAAGTTATTTGATTTATCATTAATGAGATATGGAAAATTGATATTTTTCAGAAATATAGCCATGTGACACATCTAGAAGTCTCAATGTCTCTCGTAGTACGGTCCACTGACAATGGAATCAGTTTAAATCCAAGGATTTTGTGTCTAGAAGACATGTTCAAGCAGACCAAGGATCACAACATCTGAGGAAGACCGTTATTTATATCTTTCGGCCCGAAGGAGGAGCAAAATTACTTTTCTTCAGCTCATGGCAGATCACTTAGTAGCAAGAACGTGGTGGCGTCTATTCTCTTCACAGACGAGTCCAGGTTCACATTGGAGAGTGAATCAGGTCGTTAGCTGATCTAGAGGGAACAATGTACCAGATAAAACCAATCCAACAATGTGGTTACAGAGGTGGTGCAATAATGCTTTGTGCTGGGATCTCTCTCGATGGTCCCACTAACCTGCATGTGTTCCATGGAGGAACTTTAACCGGTGTGAGATATCGAAACGAGATCCTTGAGGAATAAATCCTCTCTGCTATTGGTCCTGGATTTCTTCTGATGGATGACAATGCGCGACCGAGTTATAATCCCCATATGTAATTGAAGTTTCTAGAACACAATGCAACTGGTACATTTTAGTTAAGTCAATAAGATGTTTTGGAGGTTTTAAAGAACCACTAAAAAGTAAGTGGTACCCTTACTTCAAAACATTCTTAAGCATTTGATTTGCGATATTTATGTAGGAACACATGAAAAATGGATGAATTTTCTTGTGTTTTGATAAAATGAATGGAGAAATGAAACATGAACATGAAATGAAAAAGTGAATAGAAACACATGAATCAATTTTATCTTTTATTGCAGCATGTATATATTCTATGGTGTAAATTACTTGTATCATATGCAGATGAAAGGAGGAACTGCCGAAACTTTTAAATCGGAGATTCCATTAGCAGAGTTTCTCAGCATTGGCTCAGTTTCAAAACAACATTATCTACGGCCACTACACTTTCTCCAACAGATGGGTCAATCACTGCATGGAAGATAAACTGAAAAGCAATATTCTTTGCATTATTATCCGTAGAATAAATAAATGATTTTCATTTTTTATACTTAAAGGATTTAGCTAGGATATTTTTGTAATGAGTATAATTATAAATTAACAAGCATTAACCTTTTTAACAAACTCCGTATTACTGCACTAAAAATTGGAAGAGGACAGAATTTTGAAGAGATATCGCTTATGAACTTCCTAGCTACGAAATATTTGTTTTTAAAACCCCATTTTATTTATTTCTATTAGCATAATAAGTTGTTGAAAAACTAATAACTTGTGATTTTTTATCAAGTAATATTTATTAGAAATGTTTTTGCACTGCACACACTGAGAACTGAATCATAGATATAGTGATTTTCAAAATCAATAAAGCAATAAAAATATAATGTTGCCTGCATATGACTTCCTGCCAGTTCCATGTTTTAAATAACAATGAGCATTACGTAAAGTAACCCTTCTAGCTGATCGTTTGTAAACAAAAACCTAATTTATTGTTCCAATAAATAAAAGGTCTGTAATACGAAATTTTGGGTTATATTTCATTTGCTATGTGTAAAAAGTTTTTTCTTAATTTATACCAATATAATAAATGAAATTAATTAAGGTTTTAATTAAAGAAAATTAAGTATTTAAAATAAACACTTTGAAACGAATATCATAATTTAATTTTCTTCAGTGTTATTTCTATAGTATCAACAAATCTAAATTCATTTTGATCTGTACATACATCCCTGCGATATTTATGTATCAGCAAACAATACTCGTTAGTTTTCGGAATTACAGTTGATTAGTAAACTCTGTCTATCATAAGAAAAGCTCTCGCCAGTTTAGTCTGCAGTTGTCTGTTGCCGTAGAAACGAGTCTTGACCCATTTTCCGTAGCGGTGTCTTGAAGACGAACGATAAACTCTTTTCCCCTCAGCCAACAGTCGCCGAAAACTAAATAACAATAAAGCAGCCCTTGGTTCGCCCCTTATTTGAAATATACTAGCCCTGTTGCTATAGCGACCGCCACCCCCCAGACACTGTGGCGGGGCTGTTCTTCTCGTAGACAATTAGTAGACAATTTCGGGATACGTAATTGCAGGCAGGGAAAACTATATTTAAATTGGTAATTTCCCAATTAGCATTGATAAGTTAAAAAAAATATATAATTAATGAAGAATTAAAAAATACAAGTGTCTTAAGGAGGAACCAAAATAAATAAATAAATAGATAAAATAAAAAAGACAGAAAAGCAAGAGGTGTCGAAATTGGTTTTCTAGAATGGTTTCAAGTTATAAAGCTGAAATGTTTTTCTGTTTCTAGATCTGTTTTCACTAAATGCTAGGAAAGAATTTTATACCCTGTATATATATGTTAGCAGGACGCAAATATTGAAAGCAGAGCGAGCAATCAGTAGGCAACTCTCATTTTGAGCACCCAGGCGCTGGATATCTAATAAATTCTTTGAGTTATTAAAGCGGTCAACAGCATATGTCTCATCCTATAGGACACACGACAAAAGAGAAAAAATTCTGAGAGTGCAGAAAGAAAGTTCTACAATCAGTTTCTTTAAAATAAGCACTTCAAGGCATTTGATATCCTTCTCTGTATGCGAATGCAAGTACAGGCCTTATTTTCTCAGATGATGGATGATTAGAATATTCATGAAAAGCTTTTACAAATAAGTAATTCTTAACTTTCTCCAACGATTTCATATTGATACTTGGCTTTGCTAAATAGCCATTTCTGATGATGAAATGCAGTGTCATAAACAAGCTAATATTACGCCAAGAGCGCTTTTCAACTATATAGTAACTCGGCATGCACAAGATGTCAAGAAATCTTTGTCTAATGCCAGCGAAGCTATCGAATGGAAGATGAAACGAGATGTCTTGTTTCTCCGGATTTCAGTTATTACATATGATGTCCAATTTCAGTTAAACATCTCTATTTTCCGATTCGTTTGAGTTACGCATTAGTCTAAATAAAATATATCTTTTCAAGTTGTGGGAACAATCTAAGATGCGGAGCTTTACGTCGGATGATACAGCTCAGGTAATAGGAGGAATATATAAATTTTCTGCTCGAAACGAAATAAAATTGAATATTTAAAGAACAGGTATAAAAAAAGGGAAAGTACGGAAGAATAAGAATCTTAAGAAGAGGAAGTTTCATCAAAAATTTTTGCTTCGATTATAGTAGTGGAAATTGTTAGATTGCTGTGACAGAAAATCTACATTATGTACAGAAGAACAAGAATGCAGTTTTTCTCCTAGAAGTAACAGACGATTAAAATAGTGATGAAAAATATTGTTACAGCTGCAGTGAATAGGATTTAGTTTTTCTTTAATGTTCGTTACAATGTATAGTAACATTAACTTTTAGGTTTAGAAATTTTCATCAATATTTTGGGGTTTAATTTCTTTAATCTTAATAGTACACAGTAAATAAATTTAAAAAAGAAGTTTTTGGTTTATTTTTGTGAAACATTATAGATATACCATCTTTGAGTTCCATAATATATGAAGGCAACGGTAGAATTCTTCAGTGTATTACATGCTTATTTCTTTCTGGCCATCTATGAAATTATCCATTACCCCCCCTAAGTATTTTGGGGAAACTAATATCATTTTATTTTTCCTTTTCTTTCCGTCTTCCCCTCTCTTCCCCCCTTACGGATTTTCCGAACACACGTCTATGCTGTCACTTAACCCTTTCCATTTTCCCTCCAGAATTCGAATTTAGTTCGCATGTATTTAAAGTGAGGTTTTGAGATTGTAAAACAGTGTGTTTTACCTTCATGGCAACGTTACTAGGTTTTTATTTTAGATAAGAGTTCGTGTCTTCCACCTTGCATTATAACTGCCGATAGCTGAATAATATGCCGGTTACGTTCTGAGCCAACTTCGCGTTAAAGCCAACCTGATGGTGTAGCCTTCGGCTGCTAGTTAAGTTTCATATTTTGAACTTCTTAAGTTTCTTGCCCTAAATGATGGCGGAGTTGTAGGCACCGAGAGTGTCTTCTGCTTATCTTAGTTTTAAATAAAGGGTTTTTTACACCATTCCCAAGTGTCATTTCTTAATTAGACTTAGCGATAATTCGTTACCAATCTGTCTAAAATTTGCTCACAGTTCCTGACAGAGAAGGACCTTAGTTTATAAACCTCATTTTAACAAATCTTTACCTTAGAAAATTGTAAGAATTTTTTTAAAAACGTCCTATATTTTGTGTCATTTTAATACTTAATTAATAAAATCGATTTCAGTTGGCACGCTTTTTTTAAAAACAATTCCATTTCCCAATAAACTCTTACAATTAAAAAATTTATTCTTACACTTACAATTAAAAAAAATATTCTTATACTTACAATTAAAAAATTTATTCTTACTCTAACTTATTTACTCTTAAAAGTAAATAACTTTGCGCAGCATTCACAAAATTTTCTAAAAAAATGTCAGTATGGCTTTCAAAAAGCTGGAATACAATAGACATTTTTCAAATCAGAAAAAAGTTTAAAAATCTACGTTTTATTTCTATTCAAGCAATCCTTGTATTAGAGAATATACTGTACGTCTTTATTTGAAAGCCCCAGGAGATTTTAGGTAAACAGAGCTGTTATTTTTTTAACTATTCATGTTTTTTATAACCGGATAATCGAGACTTTAGCATATATAAACACTATCTCCTTGCTGAATTATTTATTATTAAAAGATAACACAAACAGATACTCCCTTAAAGATTTATCAAAAGACTAAGAAAACCATACAGATAATCACAGGGCATATTATTATACAATATTGTTGAGCACGCACGAGTACGTAATAGACTGAATGCTCACAGAACCGATGATATCTAGACAAAATCTAATTTTACCAAGAGTAACATTTTAACAGTTCTGAAAGTTTTCACAAAGCACTCGCACAGCTCTTCTCAGTATCACAGAGCACAATCAGTAGTTAAATCCAAACTACTAAGAACGTTAAACATAAAGCAATACAAAGTGCATGGATATTTCAATACTCCGAAATCAGCTTTGTACAACCGAGAAACTGATGCTCTCTCCGTTTTTTTAGTTTTTCTCCGGCGCCAAGGAACCTCTAGCACCTTTTACTTCTCGAAATTACTGGCATATGAGGGAGGTATACTTTTACAGTTATATATAGGGATCAATTACAATACCAATTTACAGTTAGAAAGAGAATGGACAAAATGTCGCCAAATGGTTCCCGAGTCTGGCGATTTTTCGCTAAATTAGTCGCCAAAAACATCGCCATCTCGGTGTATCTCGCAAATGTAATATGCCTCAATGTGAAATACACTTGCCTTTTAGGCCTATTTTTCCGGCAGAACTTTGTCTCTTTCAAGCATTTAGATTAGATAAATAAAAGTACTAGAATTTCTTATATAATTTCACTGAAATTATTTACATATATACAAAATTCGTATCAATATCATAAGGCATATAAGTTAAGCTGAAAGCTTGATGCCTGAAAATAGACACACTGTACCTGCATTTAATTTAATATTTCGTATTATTTGAATATTAAGAAAGAAATGTTTCAGACAATAAATTCAACTTTTTCAAACAAAAATATTTCAACTTACTCTCGTGGACTCGTCAATGGTGACGCTGACTCTAGCCTTTTGCCATCCAGAGGACTTTTTGTCGAATAACCATATCGCAGCAATACCGAAGTTCCTTTCCTGTTGTGTGTTAAAGTATTGGATTCCATTGCCAGAAGTATAAAAGTCGAAAGTGAAACACCCAGGTATTTCATCATGGACCTCAAAATATGGCGTTACCATTTTTGCACTTTGGACAGTTGTATCGTTCAATTCAACAGTCATGACATAGCCTGAAATCAGACAATTATGTTCATGCAGATCATATTAAAAATAAAGAACTTAAGGCAGTGATTTTAAAGTATGTAATTTCAGAAACATTTAGTTTTGTTACCATTATTTAAACGCAAACAATGAAATAAATATAAAAAGATTTATACGATATATATATATATAAGATATAGGTGTGTGGCATCTGTGGCTCCATCTGGTGAGCGGTGAGCGAAAGACATAACATCATATAGTTCGAATTCCTTGGTTTTTCTAAAGTTTCGTAATCTGCGAACTCAGCAGCCAGGTCTCGGAGAAACAGTTTAATTGGCGTATCTTTTCTTGGACAAAAAGGTGTTCTACTGTGCATTTTCATTTAACAGACAGTACACAGGTATCTCTCTGGCAGCATTTGCCACAGAAATACTTTTCATATTGTCCGAACGGACAACTGCTTCAATGTCCTGGACGAAACTTGCTGAAAAATACTTGCAACTGCTTCCAGTTTACTTCAGGCTGTGGGCAAAATGTAGAAGATTAGCTGTTCCTTTACTGCTGCAGCTATCTGCTATCGTTGGTGTACTCTCCAGTTTATCCTCATTTATATCCTGGGAACTGTTCTTGTATGAGATCTACTGCGTTGGTCTTCGGTTGTCTTGACAGTTTTGCTTAACTTATTCAAAACTTCGAGTGATCTACATACGATCGACTGTATCCATTTGGTCCTGTTTTTCGGTATTATCCGTTTTATTCACAAGCTTCTTGCTAGGTGGATTTTCCGCTGACGATGGCGAATTACTTGGCTTCGGCGAGTTGGTACCAAACTTTGACAAATACTACAAAGCGTTCAATAATTTGTTCGCTCCTCAGAGTCCATATTTTCAAATACGAAAGTTTTCATTAGAGCTTTATGACCACCTTGCTTGGTAGCACCACACATTGCCGGATCACCTCGATTATTTTTAACAAAATACTGTAAACTCAATTTCTTCATACGACCGATGGCACTTACAATAATCGGATAATTCATCCACGTCCATCTACTCACGGGAGTGAGACATATTCAATGTAGAAACATAACATTAAGCTCTAAGCTATTAACACTCAATAAACCACACGAGGTACAAAATCAGCACTGCTGTGAAGAGCAAAAGGAAAGACTTCTACTCCAAAATTTTACATTTTGCTTCTTTAAACTGAGTTGACAGTCCTTTCGAGAGGTTTGGTGGTAGAGGAAGATGTATAGGCGACCCTTGGATTCGTTTTCTGAGAATTCTTTATCAAAATTGGAACTGAGCTATATAGTTAATGTTGTGAGATTATGCCCGTACAACATTTTGATGTCCTTGTCTTCTTCTGTATACCACAAAAATAGTTAACGATTATAAATTTGAGCAAACAATTAAATACATTTTACAAGATATGTTCTCTTGTTCTGTAAGGAGTATGGAAATAGTTGCATATTATTTTGAGACTAATTTTTTTATATATCGAATAATCAAAAGACTATTCTTATTACGACATAAACTCATTGGACTTTTAAGCTCAACAAATGTTCAACCGTTATTCATTGAATCTAAAATGCAGTTATTATGCTGTCTATTTTTCTTGATTTGTAATGTTCATTCCATCCCTGCCCTCTGGCTTGGGTAATAAATTTCCTTCGTTCAGTTCGAATAGCAAACACAGAACTAAAGCCGCGTGGTTTGATTGCTCCATGCTAATTTATTTACATGATATACAACATATATCTTCGGGGAGGGTAATAAAAATTCCTATTTAAATTTAATAAAATGTTCTTGTAAAATACTGATTTAAATATTCATTACTCTTTTACATTTACGCTGAATTAATTAAATATAAAAATTACAACATCTGTCTCCAACGAATGTCTTAATGTGTTCTTTGTCAAAGAAAAGTCATTCTTCAAGGCGGTTCGTAGTTTAATTTCTCATTTTATTCTTATTGACTGGGAATATTTTTTCAATTGAAAATGATGAATGACCAATTTTAACTCATCAAATAAGGAAATATTTGTTTTCCTTCAGCAGTTTTTCCTTTCAAAAACTTTGTTTCATGAAAGTATGAATTCGTAACCTTTTTTTCAAAGTTGCTAAAATCGTTATTAGATCGATTCTCTATCTAAATCTTCACAGTTATTTACTTCAATAAGGAAGATTCAACCCTGTTTAAGTGGCATTATTGATGGACAAAATGTCTGATTTAGCAGAATTCATGATTCATCACTCTTAAAATGTTTTTAATAAAGGATTTCTGAAGGTTATTCTTTTGAAAACTTGATTAAACTCAACATGTATAGATAAGTCATGATTTCACTCTCATCTAAGCTCATTTCAATAGAGCTTTCATTCTCACTCCTAGATAAATATTTTCTATATATTGTCAACGGCAAAGTATAAAACGCCGGCATTCTACTGAATACCTAGGCATTTTATAGAATGCCTAATAATTTTAAGCAAATTAAGATAAATTAAAGACCTTATACTATGCCTTTCTTACTAAAGAAAATAAAATTTTCATATAAAAAATAAGAAATTAAAATTAGCCGTTTGTTGTAACATGGTAGGCTTGAACATTTTGAATTCCCCACAAAGACATTATTTCGTCATTTTGTTTTATACACACACTTGACAAATCTTTGGCCACTTCCATTGGACTGAGCAAATACAACTGACCACAGAAGAATTTCGCAGTCAGGAATATCTCCAATTCTACGTAAGTTCTTAGAACATAAAATGAACTGTGATTTCTTATATAAGTTGTTTTAAAATTCTTCCACAAGTTCCAAGTCTGTAGAAACTATTCTCTGTCACACTCATTACAACTGCCAATATATTGCACGAATTGTTATATATATATTACTTTCCTTAGGCATTGGCAATGCGTGGAATGCTTAATCGTTTCATACAGTGCCAATGAGTTTGCATAAAATAGAAGATTTCCTACTTTGCTGGTACATAAAAAATGAATATCTTTTTAATTGGTGTAATTTGTAACACGTTAAGATTCTGTAAAATATTTCATGATCATTTTGTTTCCTGTTGATTAAATTACAAGACGAAGGCTTTATGCAACTAAACTTAAAAATCGAAATTTAGATATACTATTTGTGTTAAGGTGTGAATGTTAAAGGAAAGTGTACTTTAATAAAGGAAGTATGCAGGTCAGGTAAAACTGTTTTATATATTCAATAGCATCTTCTACTTCCCTCAAGGTAAAGTATAAATATATGCGTCTAACTCTATGATGTTATTCTTTTTGCTATTGCTTGAAAAGAAGACAGTATTTCATCTGAGGGCTCAGGTAAATGAACAATTAGAATTAAAAACAAAATACTAAATATATCGTAAATGTACTAACGATAGTTAATAGTACTAATGATGGATCTAAGCCTTTTCTGGAAAAAATAAAATTTCAACCCTTTAGGACGAATTTTATATTGCGCTTATATTGCGCACTTGTTAATTTGAAGAATATGCCTGAATTCGATATTCCATTTGTTAAATTAACTGATGTTATTCACTATTTAAATGTATCATCATTTAAATGCATTCTATAACTTAGAATCATTCAAATAGAATTAAAATTGCTTAAATTTAGCACAAGTGAAAACTTTTTCTCGAATGTAAACGCCGTCCGGTTTGGTGATTTTAGTTTGATTAGAAAAATAAATTCGATACGTAGCATTCTTACCATATTAACCGATTTGTTGATTAAAATAAACGAGGATTTTTCAGTGATTTATGCAATCACGCTGGAATTCGTCAATCTGATAATAACCAATTCTTACCATATTAACCGACTTGTTGATTAAAATAAATGAGGATTTTTCAGTGATTTATTCAGACCAGCCAGAATTTGCCAATCGGATAATAATATTCGACTAATAACATTAACTGTGATCAAAATGAACTGAGACTTCATTTTTTGAAAGAATTAAATGCTTTTCAAAGCTAATTACCTTCTCTGCCGCCAAGTTTGATTTCTTTCCTTGTCCATGTGGCTGTGTTACCTTCTACATTTGTGAAGCCGCATGTGTCTCTTTCGAAATCGCATGTGAAAGACTGCTCTGAATTGACAACTAAAAAAGAAATTAAATTCGAAATTATTAATATTGTTACGAAACACTGAAAGAAACTACATAATAAAAAAATCATTTCAATCAAACATCATTAAGCTTGTTGCTAGGTAAAGTCCCAAAATATCTCTTTTTTATACTGAGAGAGAAACACACTAATAAGTTTTAACTCTATTTATATTTCCCTTTTTTAGAAAAAGACATTTTTTTATTCTAAAATGTAATCACTGAACAGTTTTGATAATACCATAATTTGAATTTCCTAGTTGTGCCCCTTCTCTGATGCCATCGAATTAGTATCCAAAACAACTGTAATGGGAAAAATTTATTTTAAAGAATAAAATTTAGCTCTCTTTTGACGCAAATCATGCGCATTATCATACTTAACCAGGATTATCTTTAAGTAAATAAGCGAAAGTACGTCCAATCATTTTAGAACATTGGGAGTTATTAGTAAAATCAATTTATTTAATAAAATTTGTTTAACTTTGAAGTTAATTGAATACCATCATCGAGCACCATCAAATGAATAACAAAATATAAGCAAACATTTCCTTGCAATCTGATCTTAATGTCTGGACACCAAATTTAAACGTAAAGAAATTCCTCGGATTCGAGGATAAATCATAATTAGGTTATTACTGAACACATAACACATGGCGTCAGAAAAATCTTTTATTATTTACGAGACTGCAGCATGTATTTTAAATTACACCAATTAGATGTACTATTAAAAATAAAATAAAATTTTAAAATCTTAAAAAATGTGTTCACCGCTTTAAAATCACGCGCTTTGTTATGCATTTACGGACTAAAAAAATGTCTAAAAATAAATTAAAGCTTTTATATTTTACTGAATGTCATCATTCTGAGATCTGGTTACGCGGGCTGTCGCTTGAGCGGTAAATTAAAGGTTTTGTATTTATCGAAGTGGCAGCACCTATAAAGGTGAAAATATATATTCTCGGTAGTATAACATAAGGTAACCCATTACAAATTTTATAAAGACTGATAAAGACGTTTCTAATTCAATATCAAAATGTTTTTAATGTCAAAATGGATGCTTCAAAAATATCCTGCCATTTATATTTTGTGATAATGTTTCATACCGACTGGGATTACAAAGAAATGTATTGCATAAGTAGAATAAAACGATCAATAACTGCAAGCTAAGAAGAATGAGACTGATAGTAATCTAAAAGCTAAACCAGATATCTGGGTATTAAGCCGTTTTCTTTGAAAGTGGTGTAAGTCAATTTTTGACAAAAAGTTAGTTAATGATAAATATGAAGGCAATCTGCTATGAGATTTTCATCTATAAACAGTTACTCCAAAACATCCTTCAAAATATTCATCATTTTGTCAATATAAATGTACGCAGTTAATTCAATCCCAAATATCCCTTTGAATAATCCCTTTGAAAGTGGAATGGACTTTCCACTTGTCGCAAAAACATCATAATATTCAGTTCAGAAATTATACTACATACATTCAAAAATTATGCTACCTTATATTCTTCTAATATACTATGGTCATTTTCAAAAACTTTCTCGTGATGATAAAAATTAAAAATGGCACTTATTAATATCAAGTTGTAATTAAAGTAATTTAAATTGCATTACCTGAAGAAATAATTAAATTAAGTGTTTTTAGTTTTTTTGGACATATTTAATAAAAATTTCATAACAAAATTGGTTTGATTCAATTGAAATCCCATGTTTAATATTTCATAAATGTATATAATTTTCCCATTTTGGTGATTTTGAAAGTGGTGTAAGTCTATCTGAGGCCATCAAAAGTACAAATTTAGACTAATATTTTAAAAAGGATTGGATTATAAATTTAAATCAAATTAATATATAAAAAAAAATGAACATATTAATATATACCAATATTTTTCAAACCATGCAAATACAAACCCTTAAATTTCTCCATATAATACAAAATGGACTTTCCACTTTCAAATGTAACGGCTTAAAACGAATCCTTGGCCACTTCCATTGGACTGAGCAAATCCAACTGACCAGAAAAGAATTTCGCGGTCAGGAAAATTTTCAATTATAAGTAAGTTCTTAAAATATAAAAGGAACTGTGATCTCGTAGATAGTTGTTTTTAAAACTCTTTCAGAAGTTCAAAGTCGGTAGAAACTATCCTCTGTCACACTCATTACAACTGGCCATAATATTGTACGACTCGTTACATACTTTCCCTAGGCATAGTATATAATAAGGAAACGTTTTTCATACTTTATCAGTTTATCATCTGACATGTCTAGGCAATGTGTGAAATGCTTAATCGTTTCATACGTTGTAACGTATGGAATATTGTTTCATACATGTTTCATACATTTCCCTGGATTAAGCAAAATATTGTCATACAGAAATCTATAATAAGACGTTTTGGACAATTTTCCTGAGTGAAAAGCTTGTATTGCACTACCTTAATGTTTATAAACAATGGAAAATTTAAAAAAAAAAAAAAAAAGGCTTACCTGTCAAAGAGAGAGCAAGGCCAAAAATGAAAGTTAGTGCAGAGTTTATAGCCATGTTTCGAGAAGGATTTACCTGTTCAGCCAGAAAAAATGTTTGCTTTATCTTTTTAATATCTGGGCTTACTGCTTTTATTGCTTTCTTAAACGATTGATTCCGTTGCAGCTCTGATAAGCAACACGTAGAAGATAAGCGTGTGAAATTCTCATACTGATAGGATGCAAATGATAATGTTCTTTAAATTAGGTTTTTTAGATACGCGGCATTTTAATGAAAGCTTAATAGTGTTAGTTATGATTATAATTTTTGTATATTGGATTTTATCTTTTTAATGATTAATCTTCTGTACTCAGAGTATATACGTGAAAATATGGTAGTTAAAAAATCATATTCTGATAAATATGCAGATTGTAATGTGCTGTTAGTAGTATTTTAAAAGTTAAAACAGTAGTCCATTTTGGGAATATTATATGACTTCTCTTCCCTAGAAATTATCCAGAATTAAATTCATAGATACACAATGGAGACTGCCTCAAATGATACAATAGATGACTGAGATTTTACCGCATCTGTTATGAAGTAAAGGGAAAAATATTAAAATGTTAAAGTGCAATTAAAGGAAAAAGAGAGGTTTGATAGAAAATGCGGCATATTTCGGGGTATAACGTGCACTTTTAATGAAAAAGAAAAAAAAAAAAACTGTGTCACTAGTCATATAGTGACATTAATTCATTATAGCACGTTATAGCAGTCCCATATAACAAAATGCCAACGTTCTATGGCTATTCGTTTTTGAGTTATACGTGCCTTTGTACGTACGTCAGATGTCACGAAAAAAAGGTTTCTTCTGAATCCATTTTAAATTAATTGTCCAACCCATTTATAAAAAACACCACAAAAAAGTCTTTTATTCTGTCCGTATGTTCGCGATTTTAATATCAATTTTCGCGGTTTTATAAGGTTTTATTTTTATCGCGATTTTATATGTATCGAAATTTACGGGCGCGCCCTATACACCGGATTTACAAATGATAGATTTAAAAAATAAGAAAATATGAGCATACAAAAATTAGACTTCTTCATATACCTAAATGCTGTTTATTTAAAAGATTTTAAGTTTACATGTTATATCATTACATAGCCTGTGAACTTAAAAGTTTTCGTTATCGGATAAAATGAAAAGTTCGTCATTCGTCTTTTGCTACACTGCTCAAAACAATTAAAGGATATTGCGGTTTTAGGTGGATCTTGTGGCTGAGAAACCTTTTAGCTGATTGATACATGACCGACAGACGTAGTAGGTTATATGAGTATAACTTACACATGTTTGGCAGAAAAAATGCTTTTATTGCGCATTTGTGTACAAAAGGAAAAAACCTCAGTTTTGTGCATATGAGAAAAAAATAAAAAAGGTGTTTTCTTCAAAGGAATCATTTTCAGTAGGGTTTGTATAGTTTCCACGGACGGCCAGTAACGTTGAACAACCTTTGAGGCATGGAGTCAATGAGGCTATTAATCACAAGTGGGGTATTCTGTCCCACTCTTCCAAAAGAGTTCTTTCCAGTTCTTGGAGAGTTTGTGGGGGTGGTTGGCGGCCAGCAATTCGTTTTCCTAGAGCGTCCTAAACGTGCTCTATTGGATTCATGTCTGGAGAACACGCTGGCCATTCCATTCGTACGATTCCTTCCTCGAAAAGGAAATCCTTCACCAGGTTAACACGATGTGGCCTGCAGTTATCGTCCATTAAAATGAAGTCATCTCCGATTGCTGCAACGTAAGGGACTACAATAAGTCTGAGGATCTCATTTCTATATCGGTGACCAGTCAGGGTCCATCTCGAATGATTTTGTAGAGTCTGTGCGCTCGTCAAGGAGTGCCACATACACAAACACTCCCCCACCGCCAAATTGACACTTTCTGCACGAAAGCAGGATTATTCCTACTGCCACGGTCCACCGATGAAATAAGCCTATTATCAGGATGAACAGAAAATGGGACTCTCAGAAAAAGAAGAACATTGCTCCATTCATTTCTCCTCCATTTCGCATGCTCTGTTGCCCACTCCTGCGGTCGCGACGATGCCTTGATGTTAGTCTAGACATACCATCGGTCGGCAAGCATACAGACCTACACATGGATCCGGTTTCGGACAGTCTGGGTTGAAACCGTGTGCCAGTAGCCGACGAAGGTGTTGTTGGAGAAGAGTAGCCTCATATTTCGGTGTCTCGACCGTTAACACTAAATAACGATCTTCTTTGGCGCTGTTTCTCGTCAACGACCTTGCCCTGGTCTTCGGCTGCACTTCCAGTTTCCAAAAACGGTTCCAAATCCTGGAAATCACACTTTGTGACACTCCAATGGCTTGCGCTACTTCGGCCTGAATTGGCCCCCTTCTAACCTACCAACAACTCTCCAAGCTTCTGAATCGGTTAAATGACTTCGCTGAGACATCGTACTCATCGAACAAAGCAGTCACTGAATGCCATCCTCCTTGTCTTCATGTCTTTTATTCAGTTGAAAGTCAAATTTCATTCGCTGCCGCTGAAGCGACGTCTTTGACGTCGAACTCAAAATTAGCATACTCCACAGTTTGAAAATCAGGAAAAATTTCTATTTGTGATTCTCTTCTTCCATTTTCGGCCAAAAAAAGTTCAGTTATGTCTTTATTTTATATAAAACTTACAATATCCTTTAATTGTTTTGAGCAGTTTATATGACAATGGAATTGGTGTAGCATATGTGGTTTACGCGTTTGATACAGAAACGGACTATGGAGATATTAGATTTGAACCTTGCAATTCGGTTTTTCAAGCTGAATTGGCTGCTATTGTATTTGCTCTTAAATGGATTGTTGAAAACCTGACTGTGAAAACATATATTACTACATATACAGACTCATTATCAGGTTTGGAAGCACTAGCAGATGCTGATAACACTAATATTTTGTTCTCATATATAAAAGATCTCCTTGCAAAAGTTCAGAAAATGCATGAAGTGAAAATGATCTGTGGGAAATCCCATATTAGTGTTATAGGCAATGAGAGGGTCGACATGCTGGTCAAAGAAGCTTCTACGGGTAATGCCGAGGATGGGTTCGATATTCAGGCATCAAAAAGAATTGTTAGTGGTAAAATCAAGGATTTATCTTACGATTGCTAGAAAGAGAAATGGAACATTTCGGGAAAAAGGAAAGATTATGTATTGAACTTTGAAGTTTCTAAAAATCTGAGAATGATATGTGATTTTGATTACAATCAAATAAGTACTGGACACTGGCGCTTCCTGGCGTACCCGAAAAGATTTAATTTGCAAACTAATAGTCTTTGTAGTTTTTGTAGTGCTGAAGGCAATGTATGACATTTCGTTGAAGACTGTGCATTAGGGAAAAACCTAGTAATGTTAGGGAAAAATCTAGTAACATAAAAGAATTCTATTGCCGCAGGAAAGAGTTTAGATTTGCAAAGGATTTGATGAACTTTATAAATAGCAATAGAATAATACTTGGAATTTTGGTTTGATGTTTTTAACTGCATTTTTGTGTTAATCTGTGTTGGGTGTGCTGGCTTAACCATGATGCCGATTATTATCGGTCAGGAGGGTTGCATCATACTCGTATATTACATTACATTACATGTAGATTATTAGAAATACTGCATTTTGCATATGAATTTTGAATTACGTAGGGTTGGATTTCATTCCATGCTTTTATTATCCACTCAAACACTACTTCTAGACAGATATGATGAATTTGCCTCTTTTTTAAATGCTTTTTCACCTTCTAAACAATAAATTATAATGTAAATCTTAATTTTTTAAACACTTAGTCTAATAGCTGTTTCTTTTAACTATTATTCTGGATTTCCAAGACACTATAACTTTCTTGATTTTACAATGAGAATATTCTTTCACTTTCTTTGCGCTTTTCCCCAGTCTATCAGTCGTTAATTACAATATATTTGGTTGAAGTCTAGAAAGTGCTCTTTTTAACATTCCGAAAGCACATTAGTGCATTGGTGCTAGATACAACAGTCAATCTTTTTGGAATATCTGAAAAAGGTATACATTTTTATACCAATGTGATTTATTTAAGGATTTACATTTTATACTAGCTTGTGGTTTTGTTCCAGTAGAATTGAGCATCTTTCACATTGGATGAAAAAGAAATGTGATTTCTACTTTAAATATGGGAATGAAAGCATTTAAAAAAAAATCTGCAGATTTATTTTTACATATCTTTTCAATCTTCTTAGTTTTCCATTTGCATGAAAAACTAGCTATAGCTGTACATCCTTTACTGAAATTTTCGTGAAACCCTTGAATCTAAGATTTCAAATCTGTCTCTTTTCTTTTAGGATCGGAAATTGATTACTTTTTGTGATAGTCATTCAAGCATAGCCCCGCTTGATTTACAGCCACAAAAAATTTTCATTTTTTACGTGAAAAATTATTTTTGTAAAGAATTTTGCTCCTCTGGACTAAAGAACATGTCTAAGAAGAAAATGATAAGCACCGCATTTCACCGCTTAAATTAAAATTTTTATTTTCTATTTATCGAATGTACAGATAAATATAGTAAAAGTTGGCGGTATTGCCTATTCAGTCGTGAGTTTTTTTTTACGACTGTTGTTTGTATCTTTGAAATATTCTTTAAAATATACATCCTGTTTGGAAACGGCATTTTGCATTCAACAGCATATAACCTTTCAAATTGATGCCACCAAATATAATCGTCCTGTATTACATTTAAAGAAATTAAATAATGAAGAATTTGCACGAATGTATACGTATGTTTCTCGTATTGTGAAAAAACAACGATACTTAGGGCCATCAAATTTTGAATTACGTAGTCCTCCATCCGAATATTGGTACCTGAAAGCCCGGATCTTGGATTCCGAATTTGTTTTACTATAAATTTTATATATTTTTATTTTATAAATTATTTTAAATTTTATAAATTTTGATTGAAAAACTCAACAATTTCAAAGCGAGCAGTGACAACACACTGTGCGAAATAAAATATTTTTATCTCCAGCGAGCGATACTGTCTATCGGAAATTCTAAGGATATGCTGTTTTTAAATATTTTTAGACCATATGCTCTCGAAACGTATATGAATGTTTAAATGAAAAAACACCTCTTTGAGCGTAATGTAAAATATGAAAGCAATTTTTTCCTTTTGTTTTAAATCATATTGTTTATCGTGCTTTAGGTACTTTGATTTTAAGTTTCCGTCCTGTTTTCCTATTGAGAGGAAAAAATTTCTATCTTTGTAAAGTTCGGAAACTTAGTATTATTTATACCTTGGTAAAAAAAGCTATTGCCAGATAATATTTAGGTTTTATTAAATATCAGCTATTTGTTTAATCGAAATTGTTAAAGAAGTGTGAGAATAACCTCTCTATGTCTTTATATTGATTAAAATATAGGCAATTTTTATTTATAAAAAATAATTTAAAAAATATAACAACTTTTTAAATATTTTTATTAATGTCTGCCAGTTGTTGTAATTTCCTGCAGATTTCAACCCGTTGCATTCAGTTTCTGTCATCGGCAGGGGGAGGGGGAGGTTCTCCCAGCAAAAGCCAGCCTTGATAATGATGTAAATTTATGTCAGTTTTCAAGTACTCAGATAGAAACTCAGACTGCAATCAGATTGCAACTAAGATTGCATGTTTCTCCCCCCCCCCCAATACAGTTCATTTTAAGAGAGTCTCTGATTTTTTTCCAGGACAGGAAGAAGAAAAAAATTTCAACAGTTTCGATAGAGGAAACTGATAAGGCATTATTTACCCAAGGGCTGCTATGGTAACGGAGCATTTATTTAGTTAGGTTAGTTGAATTTTTAGCAGACAAAATTTTACTTTTCTTTGTAACTGCACATTGAAAATGCTTAATATTTCATAAGAAGCTGGAAAATCCATCGATGGTGAATTATCAATATATTACATTATTCGATTATTATTTTATATTTTTCTTGCTAATCGATGTATTAGACTTTGCTCGGATGGATGAAATGAATATTCTCTCATGATATATTACATCTATGATGTAATTCACGATAAATGCTTCAAACGCTTAACGCCCTACTGATTTTCATTTAAAGGAAGGAAAAAAAAACCACAAATCAAATATTAGTCATTTTTTTTTAACTCCATTTAGGCAAAATATCAATCAAATGTAATATAGCTTGGATAAATTCAAAGTAAATATTGTATAAACTTTACGTAAGTTTCGAGATGATTAAAAAAATACCTATTACCTATTTTGCTTTTTAAAGAATTATTTTTAAAATTGCTTATTTAAAAGTTTTTTTTTTTTTTTAAAGATGCAGAGAGTTCTTTTTTTTTTTTTTTTTTTTAATTGCACAAACTGCCTTAAATTATTTTATTAGTTTGCTTTCATGTTTCGTACTTTTTCTTATAACCATTTATGCATCTAGGAAGGACATTTTCCCAGCTTGAAGACAATTTTAGTCACAGCTACGATGTTCTTTCCCATGGCCGGATATACATGAGCTTCAAATACGAACTGAAAATAAACATAAGTATGAAATTTTTAAGTGTGTAAAAAATAGCACAATAAAATATTAACTATCGAATTGTATACATATAATATGTAATCCATTGCTTACCTCTCTTACTTCAAATGCAATTATTAGAGTTCTACTTTTCAGAAGGCTGTAAAAAAAAGGAACCATTTGTAAGAATAACCTGAAATTTGAACTCAATACACAGGAAGCAATGCGAATTTGTCTGAAGAAAGAAAAGAATTTAGTTCAAAATTTTATAAACAGATGGCGCCTTGCTTATCATCATTAAAAGTTGTGAGATGTGCACCCTATATTAGACTTAATAAAAAATACGTACTACTTGCAGTTCCTGTTATTCTGCGTCAGAGAAGTTCGTCAAGGATCGGGCGTTACTGTGCTTCAACTGCCCTGAAGAAGCTCGGCGCATTAACGGGTATAAGACGAGGCTATGATCTGATGTCTGTAAAGGATCTGCGGAAGATGATTCGTAAATTCGAAGAGACTGGTTTATTTGACAGAGAGGGGGAAAGCAATTGCCTCTACGTCACTGGAACATGTGGCATAGCACTGGAAGAAGAGACGAGGAGTGGCGTGGAAATTTGCAGTGGTCTTTAGACCGATCTTTAGCAACCGATCCTATCAGCAAAGTTTACGAAGATTCCTGCATCACATTCCATTCAAAATTATCCACATTCAGAAGTTACTGTTTGCTGATCTGTCAATATGACAAAATCTGCTGTACAATTTCTTCCTCAAATTGAAGCAACAGTGTATGGCCATGGAAAATTTTGTGGACAGATGATGCCCATTTCCATCTTAAAGGTTCTGATAAATTCAAAATTGCACACATTGGATTAGAACCGCATCTTATACCCATTAATGTCCGAAAATTCTTCAGAGCATTTGAAGCACAGTTCTTGCAAAATATTTTACACGCAGAGCCCGATCCTTCATTGACATAATTATAACTAGTTTCTCAGACACGCAATAACGGGAACTGCGCGTGTTTTTTAGCACATTATGACAAGTACGGTGTCATTCATCTACTGATAAAATTTTGAACTGTTGTTTCTTTCACCAGACAAATCCCATCGCTTTATGTATATTCTTGTCAAATTTCAGGTCATTCTGACCAGTTTCTTTTTCACATCCTTTTGAAAAAGGAATTTTAATTGTAATCATCATGTACATTATAATAATATGAAAAATGCGAGTGTAGTTGGTCAAAAATAAGAGCGAAGATTACGTCAATTTAGTTTTTTTTTTTTCCCTTTCAAGGATACATGAAGTGCTGAACCAGCTATGACTGCTGGTCGTACATCCTTCATATCACGATATCTATAGCCCACACATGCATACATGCAATAAAATGTATATATGTGTATAAAATTTCATTTGCTAAGTAATTTTTTATATAATTTAATCTACATATATTGCAATAAATCAATTTCATCTCTCAGCATAAGGAAATTTTTCCGTAAATATCTTATCTCTTCTAAATAATTTTACTGCAAAAAATGTGGAGTGAATCAATTAAATAGCCATTTCTATTCATATGGTTTCTAATATTTATCTTAATGGGAAAAAACCGAAAGTTTCTTTGCTTATTGAAGAAAAACTAATCGTCCTCCAATTTCATTTTCATTTCCTTCTTAAATGTTATTGATAATATAGCATTTAATATTTGCATTAGCTCATTTCCATTATTAAATGAAAAGGGAAAAAACTGTTTTAAAATTAGTTCCTTTCGTTTGTAAATAGTATATTCGTTCGTGGACAATAATTTCATCTGAATCTTTTTTTTTTTTTTTTTTTTACATTTGACTTTATTATTAACTTTCTAGTCAGCAGAATATATTTTGCTTTCCTCCCCTTTAGAACATTTTTCATCTTTCAAGGAAATCTTTCATAGAAAATTATCATCTTATCTTCTAATAAAAGTCAGTTATGATTCAGAAGTCAAACAACAAAAATCAGCGTTAATTTACAAAATTTTCACAGGACTAGTTTCGATGGTTTAGAAACCTCATTCGCTGCAAAACCCAATGAACAGATAGGAAATGTTCATTTGCGGTTTTGCAGCTGAAGATGATGATTCGGTAAAACCATCGAAACTAGTCCTGTGAAAATTTTGTAAATTAACGCTGATTTTTGTTGTTTGACTTCTGAATTAGTATTTATTCGGCGTGTTATTGTGTCTTAAAACTTCAGTTATGATTATTTAAAAAATAGTAAAAATGATGAAACTAGAAAAAATGGTAATTTAATGGAAACTTTTTAAAGAAGCTAATGAGTGACTTACTTGTAATGCATCAGATAGCTGTCAAATAATGATAATTATAATAATTGTGAATAATATAATAGTAATAATGCATGAATTATGTGATTAATTTTGTAAGTAATAAAGTGTTATTCGTAAGAAAATTATTTCAAAAATTCGTAACAAATAAATTACACTTTCGATGCCAAATTACATTTCACCGACACAAAGATAAAATTATTCACCTTTTTCTTCTTATTATTATTATCATCAACATCATCATTGCCACCATTAGGTCATTATCATTATACTGATAGTTACAATATAATATTAATAACAACAATAATAATTATTATTTTCCTGCATGTGTCACAAGCCCCCAGTATCGTTTCCTTGTACAATTCCTACCTTTTCTTGTACAACTGACGTATATGCAGCATTGGGGGTATTCCTGAAATATATTAAAAAGCTGGCTAATGCCAACGCTGAATGAAAACTATAAAGGTTTTCCCATTCTACTATAACAGAGACCATTTGCGAAATTATCGCAGTAAAAATTTGCCATAAGTACCGTATTTATGCGAATCTAATGCGCCATCGAATCTAATGCGCATCCCCATTTTAAAACTTTAAATAATAAAAAAATTGTTTGTCGGCAAATGTAATGCGCATCAATGGTATGAGGATTTATTGAATCTATTTTATACAACAATGGATTTTATATAAACTATCAATCATATATGATAATTTTATTTAAATTTAGATACCATATTTTATACAACAATGGATTTATACATAAAGTAAAGAACATAGAATTAACCTATTAGTGGGCTATTGTTATGTGAAACAATCATTGTTAATTACCACTACCGTATATACGGTACATATCGTAAAGTATGAACATGAAATAAATGGTAACATTTCTATCTAGCTAACAGTTTCTACAATCAGTGATTAATAGTAAACATCTTTATTCACGATTTTCATAACTTTTTTAGTCCCCTTCTTCGTAATGGTGTAGTTACGAGGCATATCAAACCAAATTGGCTTCTCGTCAGCGTTGCCAATTTGCCCCATTGAAAAATTCTTTTCCTTCCGAAGTGTGATGACATACCGCTAAAATGTTAGTGGTTTTCCCTTAAAATCTGCAGGAAGCTTTTGGCATATTGTTGTACGGCGTCTTAGAAATAAGCCCATCCGCTTCATAAACCGATCCACCCATCGACGGTTAGCTTTAACTCTCGTTTCGGTAGTCCAAGAACTTCAGCCTCCTCTTTGCTTTATTTCTTATAGTGTCGCTAATCACAGGTGTGGCCATTCTTCCTCCTTTCACGTACAAATTCCAAAACTTTTTCTTCAATTTTAGGGGGTCTTCCTTTGCGAGGGCTAGTGAATTTCTTTCTACTAGTTTTAGTTGCAACAGTGCCAATTTCTGTTGCCGCTACAAGCGAACATTGCTCTCAGCTACGTTGAACTCTTCCCAGCCTATCTATTGCCATTTCTTTCAGGATAAAGAAGTACTTTACGTTTGAAAGTAGCGTCATGACATTCTTCTCTGCTTGCCTCCATTTCGTGACTACGTACTCTGCAGTATGCAATATGTGTCAACGATAAATGTAACGGTAAATGTAGTCGAGAAATACAGTAATCCATTGTTACGATTTAAATTCGGTTGACGTCATCGGCGAACTGCTGACGTCATCGGCGAACTTTGCACTCGAATCTAATGCGCACCCCAATTTTGAGTACTACATTTGGCCAAAAACGATGCGCATTAGATTCGCGTAAATACGGTATAAAAAATATTTGCTTGAATATCTCGATCAAAATTTACCAATAAAGTGAATAAGAGCACAGTTACAGGCGTCTTAAAGCAGTGGCCACTCGCCTTTGGATTTAATTCCATATGACGTTTACTTGTGGAACTTTGTTAAGAACGTGGTCTTTGCGATTCTACTCACTGCTGATTTCCAGTATCTCCACAACTTTATCATCAGCATTGAATTTCTCGTCGTTCGTGATATGCTGACATGTGTCTTATACAAAACTGGCTTTTCTTCGAGGGTCGATAGCCGAATTAGCATCGGCAATTAATCGGCATAATCAAAATCCCACTGATTACAAAAAACGGCTATTAATATAACTGATAATTAATTATTGATACGAAGTTATACCGTGCAGTAAGAAGAAGAATCATAAAATAAATATAAGGTTAAAAATACGCAAAAATTATTTAATTTTTTTTTCTTTGTGGAAACGGAAATAGCTGGTCAACTAAGCAAATGCACGCAGTCATTATTTTTTGGACAGGTAATATTTAGTTGTGAAAATTATTTAAGAAGAGCTTCACACTGTTTTAAACTTATCCAACTAGGCAATAAATGCTAATAATGCGTTTAATTATTGTCTTTTTGCGCAACTGTATGACCACAATGATGAAAGTTGCAACAATTTGCCTCTTCACACGGAGGTACGCTGCCTGTTCAAGGGTAACCGTTTGCAGCGTTATACAGACATTTTTAATACCGTGACAGAATTTTTCCTCGAAGCTCACAACCATACTGCTAAACAATTAATATAGGTAATTAAAACATAGCTTCTGCTTGTTTGATACATGATCATCACTGCCACACAAAACAAACTGCGAGAAAGAGACATCATCATTGAAGTTAGGACGACTATCTTCGCTTTTCTCTCTAAAATTGATTTATTATATCAGCATTGAATAGAAAAGAATTCCATTGCTTTTATAACT